AAATTCCCAATTCCCATACTGGTAGAGGAATAGGATGTCCCAAGACTCTTCATGCTTTCTGGTGATTGATCATAGAAGAACTCAATCAATACCACTGCAAAAAATGCATCTGCCACTCCCATAAGTAAAAATTGAGGAAGTAAAATGAAAATACTCAATGGAACTTGACCTCCATTTTCAACCAAACCATGTTCCCTGGCCACTTTCAATCTGTACCTCTCGGTGAAAGATGCAACCATCATGACTATAATTAGAAAAAACAAACCGATTCCCATTCTTTGAAGGAGGGTTATACCTCTAGGGTTCTTTGTCCACCTCTGCATAATCTTGACAAAGAAACGAGCATACAAAACAACACCAATAAGCATAGACAATGTCACAAATGCTCCCAAACTAGCTGGAGGTATATTGAAACTACCAATAGATCTATCAAGAGTTGTCCCTTGTTTTACAAAGAGCGTATTGGCTTGAGCAACCATGGTGGTTGGAATAAATGTAGCTACTAAAATAGGAATCATCCTTAACATTTGCTTTGTTTCCTCTACTCGGGTCACTGAGCATAACATCCATGGATCAGTAGAACCAGTTTTCACAGAAGCTTTGTTGAGGAACCTGCATGTATGCACAAAGAATGAGTTTCGAAGAGGAATTTAACAATTAGTTTAAGAACCCATCAAAGATATGCAACTGATCATATATACTAATTAACCTTAAGGTTGGTGTTGAATCAATCCTGAATTTCCCTTTCTTAGCATCATACTCTTCCAAGTCAAGTTCAAACAGTTCTTTGGGGTCACTAGGAATATGCACCCTCCATTTCCTCAGGGCAGCCACAATGACCCTAGCCATCCTTGTGAAAGAACTCCCAGAGGGCACCTTGTGCCTATAGAATGGTGTGCCCGCCAAGAAAATCATAAGAGATATTAAAAGCCCAAGAGTAGGAAGTCCATAGCCCAAGGTCCAGCCGACATTATCTTGTACGTACACAACAACCGTGTTGCCAAACAGTGTCCCAATAAAAATGCTAAACATCCACCAGTTGAAGAAAGATAGCTTCTGAGCCTTCTCCTTAGGATGGAAATCATCAAACTGGTCAGCACCAATGGTGGAAATGTTCGGCTTCGTCCCACCAGTACCCACTGCTAGAATGTACAGTGCGCCAAAGAACACTGCTAGTTGTAAAGTTGAAGCCTTCCCGCAATTCTCCACAATGGATTGGGTACATGGTGGTGGTTTTAGCGCAGGAATTGACACTGATAATGTTAGCAATACCATTCCCTGTAACCATTTCAATTCATTAGTTCCAATGAGATCAATCTTAGTTTCTTGATCCATTATATATACAATAAGTTGTTTAGAATAAAGTGAAGAGTTGGGGCATAATTGCCGACTTACACTGAGATAGATTATAGAAGAAATGACAAAGGTCCAGTAGCGTCCTAAATGGGCATCCGCGATGTATGCACCCAAGATTGGGGTCATCCAAATGGCGCCAGCCCAGTTGGTCACATTGTTAGCGGACTCGACAGTGCCTTGATGCAGTTTCCTGGTTAAATAAAGCACAAGGTTGCTTGCTATGCCGTAAAAGGTCATACGTTCGAAAGCTTCATACACTGCAACGAAACAAACAAGCAAATCAAAGGAAACAAGGAAAACGAATGAAATCTAGAGAAATTTTAAGGTGAGGAATTACATTCAATAAGCTTGTTATGGACAAATAAGGGATCAGCTTTTAACCAAAAAAAAATTGTATTTTGACTTTTGAACTGCCGATGTGTAAGGTGTGGTATTGGTTTGAAGGATAAGTGTATTATCTCCTATTTTAAAACATTACTATAGTGATGTGCAAAATAAGTCCTTTTTAAGATTTAAGTTTAAACTTAATTTTTATGTTTGATTAATATATAATCAATTGTATTAATTAGTTAATGTTGTTACATACATTTTAATTTAAAATTAAAAAATAAAAATTTAAGTGACTTTTTCTATTAATTTAAAAATGAGAATAGTGCATTCCCCATCAACTCCTAAAAACAAATTAAAGTGCTAATTGTGAACAATTTTGTTTTATTTAATGAAAGGTTTTTTTAATTTGTACCATATTAACAACATAGGTTAAGAGATAATTACATCCTTTTCACGTTAATTAGTATTAAAAAATACAAAAAATGTCATTAATTTCTTCACAGTACTCTGTAAATAATTTTAATTAAATAGTTATTTAAATAAATGTCCACTTTTATTTTTTCAATATTAATTAATATAAAAAATGAAATAATTGCACTATTAAGGTTAGAAAAACCTTTTAATTAATTAAAAT